GAGCGCCGGGGTATGGTGGGCGTAGGCACTCCGAGCGCCGGGGTATGATCGGTGTGGGCACTCCGAGCGCCGGGGTATGGTGCGCATAGGCACTCCGAGCGCGCACGTCCAATCATTGTTTGGAGGCTGGGCCCACATATTTTGAACATAGCGCCTCCAACTTTCGATTGCGTGACACATTTCTGAACGCGCGAGTGTAGAATACAATATGCTAATTAAAGTTACGCCGACCTACGCCGTTGTCTCATGGGCATATGGCCTTCCATCGCAATGTCCTTGTCCCTACCAAGAGGCACCTCCGACGTTGCTCGAGTCGCCAATACCGCGGTACTGTCTTCAATTATGCGCCATGGAGGGAGGCGTGGCCCGATGAGTCGATGGGAGGGTGATTCGTGCCGTTCCGCGCTTTCCCGATGCAGCGCAGTGGATCCTGTAGGATCGCGTAAGTTGCAAACGTTTTCAAAGCTCTCCGATGACGAACCTTCATGTGTAGGAACAGGCACCGCCCGCTCCCCAGATCCCGTCGGTGAAGGAGACCGCTGGCTAACTTCCATGGGCATATGCGACGCCCTGTCCGATGTTGCGCCGGCGCACCTGGAGGCGTGTTCCTCCGCTTTCTCGTCCGACGAAGACGATGCGTATGATGGCAGTCGAGGAACCACCATCAACAACCTCGGAATCAGCGGCGATGGTGAGGGAGAAGTTGGTCGTGCCCGATCTTCGCTACCATGTGCGGGTATAATAGGGCCTGCCGATGCACTGGGCAGAGCGAACAGAGGTGCGGGGATCGTAGTGTGAGGGGGCACGGGTGGCGAGGCGGCAGACAATGATACAGGAGGCGTCGTGGCCGCGGATTTCGGAGGTGGGGGCGGACTATGAAAAGACGGGTGGGAGCGGGCAGAGTCACGTCGAAATTTGTCATAAAATGGGGGTGGAGGGGGGCGGTTCGTTGAAGTCCGCCGTCGCATCGAACATGAAAGGCGAGAGAAGCGTCGGCGCCGTCATCAGTGTATGGTTGACTTGCTCTAGCTCTAGGACTCTGGCAGTCAACGCGGCAACGTCCTCTTGAAGCCCCTGGTTCTGTGCAAGTGTGCGTCGCACCAGCTCGCTGTTGTTGGCAATCTCAGTGCGAATCGCCTCCAAGTCGGCCATGGTCGCTGGCCGCGATGCTGCTCTGCCTTCCCAACGCTTGTGCCCGTCGACAGAGGGCAGGGTGGACTCTGGAATCGCGAAGAAATCGCGTCCTGCGTTTAGTTAACACACCTTCAATATCGAAACGTTGTCGCATACCTGGGACTCGAGATGGAATGTTGTACCTTGCTACGGAGGGTCCTGGCAGCGCGCTCTCCGCCTCCACATCTTCTTCGCTCTCCACATCCGGGCTGCGGATTCGCGCCCGCTTGCGAGGGCGCGGCGGCTGCGCAATGTCTTCCATACCAGCATTTTCGCCCTGCGGTTCGTTCGCTGTGAATGAATAACATCAGTCGCTCGTGGCCGTGTGTTCGGTGCGCCTGTGTCCCACCTTTACGCAGCTGCTCCAGCCATTCTTCTTCGGTTTCAACTAAAATACATAGCATGAGTTTGTTAACGACCAATTCGATTATCGTGGCTTACAAAAGCCCTCCTCGTCATCGCTGTCGTTGTAGAGCCGCCCCTTCGGCTTGTTGCTGTCGTTGGGTTCCATTCCGGATCCCCCTGAGATATAATCAGCACCAACCGGGTATAGCATGATCCCATACTCACTGGCGCAACGTCCGTGTCATCGAGCGTAACCGCGCCCACAGGGTACGGAATGAAGCCGTTATCCCGGAATTCCAATGTGTCGGGTCCGAGTGCGATTCTGTGCCGCCTCGTGCTCTTCTTTGCCTGCAACCCTCCAAATCTCAGAGAGATATCTGATCCAGGTTGGGGTATCGGCCTTCCGTGCATTGCGCCACTTCCTCGAATACAACGTCACATCGCGGAAGACGTTCGGATTGGCCGTCATAATCCCCACGCGAAGCATGCGGGTGCGGACGAGGACAGATGTTGGATACCCGCCTGCGATGGCCGGGACGACGTCACATGCAACGCGTCGGTCCCGGCAGCACACACATGCTGTGCCCCCCAGAGGCCAAAACTGACATGTTGTTCCATGCCGCTTGCAGGGGCCGCATTTCATATCCTGCAAGTTGCACGGGGGATTAGGTGAATATAGGAAGGCATTTATCACAAAACCGACTTACCTGCGGGAGCGTCGCCAGCGGGTAGTATGTCTTGAATTGCTGATAGGAACTGGCGGGGGAAAGTACCTCTCGTGATGCACAAAAGGACTTGCCTTCTGCTTTCTGGTACTGCGGCGTTTCTTTTGTCCAGCTTTACCCCCAGACGTCCCACGCGATGCGGCACGAGACGTAGCACGAGATGTGCCGCGAGATGTCATCCGAGACGATGCGCGAGAGGACGCGCGAGAGGACGCGCGAGAGGACGGCCGAGATGTCGCCGGAGATGTTGCACGAGATTTAGAATGGGATGTCGCTCGAGAGGCCATGCTCGGGTCCTCGACGGCTTCCGCACAAGCCGCTTGTTAGGCCCGCGAGGATTCACCGGTGGGCTGGGGGACACTGAACCATCTAACAAACGAGCGTTAGTTGCAGCTCCGATCTGAACGCTGCGTACGAACCGTCGCTCTCTGCACCACGCCGTTTGCGCTTCTTGTCTGTTGAGGACGAAGAGTCAGATGATATGGTGACGGTTCATGGAAGACTTACTGGTGTCGGGGGGAGACACGTAGTCCAACTGCTGGGCACGCGCAGGCCTTTTCGCCTGGCCATCACGCCCAGGGGTGCGTCCCCGCTTGACGTCATCCTGGACGTGGCTACCGTCTGCAAAGGAGGTATAAGACAAGGCGGGAACGCGGGCCGTCTATGAACCCACCGTCTCCACCTGAGCCACTGGGTTGTGGGGACCGTGCCACGGATTTCCCCTTCGCCCGTCGACGCTTCTCCAGCTGCTCCGCAGCAGATGGCGGCGGCGCATCCTTGATATCGTCCCCACTGCAACCCAATTGTGAGTCGAGGACGGCAGCATCTGAACAAATACATTAAAAAACGGCATAACGATAGGTCTAGGACTTACCTCGCGTCTCCTTTCCGCTTTTCCCTAACATTACCGTTAGCTCAAAAGATTGCTGCAGGTTCGGAAGCGACCTACATTCGAAAACCCAACCATCTTGTAGGTCCTTCAGGGGCACGAAGCCGATCTTCCAGTCGTCATCGCCGGAAATGGGGTAGCTGAAGGGAAAGCCTTCCTCCCGGGGATCCTCCTTCCCGAACGCCCGGACGTTCCAAGGATTGGGAACGTATGGCACACCTTGTTCGGCCACGAAGCCGGCGTAGTCGTACTCGTATAGCGCGCCGAGTACAAGCTTCGGCAGAATGGTGATATTCGCGTGATGGTCGGGATATATCTCACTGATTGCCTGCACCGCACTCTTCAAGCCGTCTTCCCACCGCTGCAAAACATCCCGTGGAGTGGTGGCCTTCGGGGGGAGGTGGCGGAGGGCATAGTGGATTGCGCTCGCGTGGCGGCGAAGCGTCTGTTGCACCGGTTCAGGCAAGGATGTTGATGTGTCGCCAGACATATTCGTAGACAGATTGGATGTGGAAGCTAGTCGAAGTGTGGATGCAAGCAGCAGGGGATGGGCAAAGACTTGGAGGTTGGACAGAGTGCAGTTGAGCGGTTCGAGTTCGCCTACGCGTCTCGTCACATGCCCGCGTCTAGCGCCCAAACGACCGGCGCGACCATGTGACGCAAGTCTTTCTGCCACGCTTCCACAAGCCCCGGATTGCAACACTGCCAGCTCCCAACGTGTAGTTCATTGCTCCATAAACAAAATGTCACACGGTTTCACAGGTGTGTTGGTAATGTTGATGCGCTCTCACTCCACTGACGCATCCATAGAACCTACGCCTTGTGTCCATCTGGAGCCGTTTCGTTGGGTTCCAGAAGACCTCCAAATAGCGACGTGGCCGACATTGAATACGGTCGACATACCATCCAACCTGAAGACACTCTTGTTTCCCCCCGAGGATATTCGGATCGCGGAGCTACTTGACTACGTTCCTACCCACCCCCCTCCGCCTTCTCTTCGCGGCATGACCGGCTCCGTGCGAACCTCCCATCTTCCCCCCACCGATCCGAGCACCTACCCGTCGTTCATATGGGAGCTCGACCATCGCAACTTCACCATACCTGCGGATTCCAAAATCGCGCTTCAGGACGGACGCCCCGCCTCGCTCATCCACCCTGCTGCCCCAGAAGTCCTTTTTCCCGCCTGGGCGGCCACCACTTGGCGGGCGATGTCTGAAATCTGGAATGCTCGTGATGTCTGGGTCAAAGGCTTCAACTATTGTCGGAAAAACTCGCCTTCGTCGTACCAACGCGATCTTCAGCACTTCGTCCGAGTGCACTGGTACGAGGCCGCCGCTCTGAATTCGGACCTGTTGGCACGGTGTCAACGAATACTCGGCGACAATATGGTCAACGACGAATCGTTGAATGACTGTGTCGACGTCCTAAATGCCACTCTTGACCCTGAGAGCCGTCCAATAGTCGTAACCCAGACTGGCTTCTGTCCCTTTGTGCTCCAGGAGAAGACATCGGAACGCGTGCTGCGAAAAGCTTTGCGCAAGCTCGGTAACAAGGCGCATGGTCAAATAATCATCCCATGGCATCTTCCACTATCACGGCATTGGGTCACTGTCCGGCTCGACCTCGACACGCGCATGTTCGTGATCGTCGATTCCCTCCGCGGCGCCAAGTCCCCAGATAAGACCGTCTGGAACGGTGTACAACTCCTTGGGGCAGCAATTGACAAGTTTCTCGGCCTACCGGACGGCTCAGACCCCTGGATACACGACGCTACATCGATAGCCTCACCAAGGCAACGTGACGGTATTTCGTGCGGTCCGATCACCTTGAACACAATGCAACGAATGTTGTATGACGATCGGGATATTTGGACGCCGGAGCGGGCAGTAGCAAGTCGCATGGAGGTCATGGATGGCTGCGTGAAATGTTGGGAACTGGTGAGTCTTGTGCGCGATCCTCCTTCAGGTCTATTCACACATCTCCCTTCTCAGAGAGGCAGTCTGGCAAGGACAAAGACACAACATGTATTCGGCAAACTTGGTTTCTTTAACCCCGCCGGTGGCCCCGCCGTGTATGCACCTGTAAGTGTGGTTTTCACTGGTACCCAACACATCACATGAATCGTTCTTGATACAGGGTGATTCAAAGTCCACTGACGGGAATGGTTCAAAAACGCCGCTCCTGGACGCTGCGGGGCACTCTTCCGAAGGCGCAAGCGAACCAGAGTCGGAGAGCAGCGAGAGAAAAGCAGCACCAGGGGTGGTTCAAGACACGGCGGCGATGCGAAGGCTGCCCAACATTTCTTCCCCCATCACGATGACCACGCCTTCAGATTCATCTGTGGACGTCGACAAGCCTCTGGGAGATGCTGCCACCAAAGAAACGTCTCTACACCCCGATGGAATGGCGGCGTTCCGGCAGATAGCCCCGTCTTCCGATGCCCCTCGCCCTGTGGCTCACGGGATGGCGGCATTCCGTCAGTTTGCCGGCTCCCCCAATATTCCTGCCCGCACCAATCCTGACAGCGTAAATGCCCCTGCCGACATCCACAAGTCTCCGCCAGATGGCGCCAACGAAGCAACGCCTCTCCGAACTGATGGCATGGCGGCGTTCCAACCCATGGCACCATCTTCCAATCTACCTCGCCCTGTGGGTCACGGGATGGCGGCATTCCGTCAGTTTGCTAGTAATCCTTCTTCCTCAGGTGTTCCATTTGACCACACTGCAAGAACCGCCATGCGAAGTACCCCGCAGACTGCGCCCGGCTCCGGCGATGCTATACCTCTACAGGGTATGGCAGCATTTCGGCAGATGGGAGCGCCCCCAAACAAGCCATCCTCTATTGCAACAGGTATGGCCGCATTTCGCAGCTTTTCCAAACCAAACCGGGCGGAAAGCATCTTGCACAACGAAATCGAACATTCGACGGCGAAGAAGCGCAAGCTCTCTTAGCTACCGTACATATACACAAAGTATGTAGAATGCGATCTGGATTGTATGCTATACACACACCCTACATAAGCTTTTAATCCTTTCTGCTTCATTCTTCATGATGAAAACGCTCGGGACGCACGGGCGTGTGCAAAATGGCCATTTCATACTGGCCCTCGCATGGTATACAGACGTCAGAGATGTGCGCTCGGAGTGCCCACGCCCATCAGATGCGGGCGCTCGGAGTGCCTACGCCCACCATACCCCGGCGCTCGGAGTGCCCACGCCCATCAAAGACGGGCGCTCGGAGTGCCCATGCCCATCAAACACGGGCGCTCGGAGTGCCTACGCCCATCAAAGACGGGCGCTCGGAGTGCCCATGCCCATCAAAGACGGGCGCTCGGAGTGCCCACGCCCATCAAAGACGGGCGCTCGGAGTGCCCATGCCCATCAAACACGGGCGCTCGGAGTGCCTACGCCCATCAAACACGGGCGCTCGGAGTGCCTACGCCCATCAAACACGGGCGCTCGGAGTGCCTACGCCCATCAGACACGGGCGCTCGGAGTGCCCACGCCCACCAAACACGGGCGCTCGGAGTGCCTGCGCCCACCATACCCCGGCGCTCGGAGTGCCCACGCCCATCAGACACGGGCGCTCGGAGTGCCTACGCCCCTCATACCCCGGCGCTCTCAGGGAGCACAGTCATCGGACACGCGCGTTCTGAGTCCTTGCCGCCTTCAGAACATTGGCCTCTGATATGTATTACACACAACGTTCTAGCCTCTGCCACCCCCCGTAGATCATGTGTGCTTTGTATACGAATATTACATTTCCGAGACAGCAACCCAGTCCGTCCATATATTGTATTGGGTCGCCGACATGTGCAATGCTTTGGAAATAAATGAAGCACGGAGGGTGATGATGCAACATGAAGAGCATACCTCAGGAAGCCATAGTCCCATGCCATTCATGTCAGGCAGGACAGTCAAATGGGCAGCTTCACTTGAATCGTATCACGTTCCATCGTTGACATGCGTATAGCAGTACTTTGCAACAAACTATATGTAATCATATTCAGATGCCAACTGACTTTCGCCTCCTCTCCGCGGTGTTTCTGCTCGCGCCGCAAGGTCCCAGCAATGCCAACCTGCAACCATCATGTCTGTAGCACCCATCCCGTCTCGGAGAAAGTCTACGTTTCGAATGTTCCAACCTGGTGCAGAGTCCGTCAGGTCCAGCAGTCCAAACGGCAGATTAGTGACCAATTCCTCATCCATCGCGGCACTGCCCATCTCGTAAAGCTGCCAACATGGGGTGGGAGATCCCGCCAGTAGTGCGTGTCTTGCACCCAAGTACCTGCTCCGGTGCGCAGAGACTTGGCCGATGTCCACCTGGTTAAGCCGCCGTTCAGCCCCACCGACGTCGATGTATACCAGGCCGCCATCTGCCTCTGAGGGGCCGGCACCTGCCTGGTTGGCTTCTGGGGTATTTTCGTTGTTGGGAGTGATGCTCTGGCTGGGAGGCAAGACGATGCCGTCTGGGATTCGGGGAGGTGATGATACAGGTCGGCGTAGACCAAAATTGCCGTCGAGTTCTATGTCAACTCCTCTGGTGGTGGACGGGATGGGCTGTGGATGAGACGTGCCGCCTTCCAACTCTGGCGTTCCAGCAGCGTGGTCGCGCGTTTCTCCACCGGCTTCGTCGAGGATAGGCTGCAATTGAGGGTACGCGGGCGGTGGGGTTGCAGGACGAGACAACGGATGCCACCCAGGCGATCCAGACTGCTGAAAGCCAGTAATTTCAGGCTGGAGCCATGAAATGCGTACAGGCCCTTCGTGCTGCCAGAGAGGGCTGACCCGTGGGCGTAGGTAATCGAGATGCCGGAAAGGCGCAATGGGAAGGCACATGCCTGTGCCACAGGCTTCCACAACCCAGGGCATCACTGGTGGTCGGCACCGATGTTGGAGAGTATAGCCGAGCATTTCTATGGACAAAGCCCTCATAGCGGACTTTTCGGGAAAGTTGTAGTGTTCGAGTATGGGCCACGCTTCATCATCCCCGAAGATCGGCCTGAAAACATCACAGGGCCACGCCAACACGGAGTAGCTCTGTGGAGAGCTTTTTGCCAGGAAGTATCGAATGGCGCCTTCTGCCAAGACCAGATCACGGCCTTGCAGGCGTGGATTGATACGGAAGCCGTCGCGGTCCATATATGCCAGCGCGGATAGGGGCATGTCGTCCTCAACTGTCGATCCCAAGTCAGTATGAAAGACGGAGCTTATTTAACGTGTGCACATACTGGTCAAGCCGCCGTAGGCGCTGAGAAGATTATACGTGCACGTCCGTCCATTGATCCAGCAGCTGTCGCAACGGGTGGGCGGCATGGTGCTTTCGACCGAGCGGGAATATTTGCAGTCTACGTTCCGAGAGAGGCAGTGGTCGCACTGTGGTTTCGATGCAGGAATAAAGTAAGCAGCTGCTTGCTTACGGTTGCGTAGGCGACGGACCTGCTTTCCGAAGAGAATATTGACTCCGAGAGGAACGTCGTTTGGGACGGTTACAGGGAGCATGTGAATGTATGGGACATGGTCGGAAGTGTCGGACATGTTTGTGGGGGGTGGCAAGGGGGATGGAACAGGTTTGGGATATGCGATATGGAGATGAGCAGAGGGGCGATAGATGGGCAGAGGGGGGAAACAAGGGCCTGTATACATATCAGCCGCGCCCATCACACGTGCTTTCTAAAGAAGCGTGCCTACGTGTACACCGGAGTCTTTATGCCATCGCCCCAGTTACGCATGGCCTCAGTATTGTGGCCTGTATGGATGGTCATGCAACACCCAGATAGAAAATCAAACGAGCAAGAAGCCTCTGTAGTCCTTGAATGTTTGAACACCCATGCACGCCATGTTAAACCCTATGGCAAACAGTACGTGCTAATATGGGTGGCATCGCAGGCGACGTGCACATATCAGCTGCAACACAGGCAACAGGCCGATATGAGTGGCAACACCGGGTACATGCTTTTAAATAGACGTAGTAGCCATCTAGATATTACACAACATGAGCGCTGTGCCCGTATGAGTTAGGACGCAGGCGACGGGCTCATATGAGAGGCAACATAGACGACGGGCTCATATGAGAGGCAACATAGGCGACGGGCTCATATGAGAGGCAACATAGACGACGGGCTCATATGAGAGGCAACACAGGGTACATCCTTTTATATAGATGTAGTAGCTACAAAGCAGCAGCAGTAGTAAGAGCATCATACAAAGGTGGCATAGGGCTTGCTTATACATGTGGCTGTGCCCTCATATGAGCGGGAATATGGGCTACAGAGCGCCCGCTCATATGAGCCCACCCGAGCGGTATCCCCAGGCTACAGTGTCAAAAATATGAGTGGCATCCCTGGCTACAATAGTGGCATGCACTCTGCTGCTGTGGCACAGCGTGCTCGGGCTGCTGCCCGTGAAGCGCGAGTATATTCTAGAACTGCTGTGGGCCCTGTTGAGTGTGGTTCGAGACGCACGAACACGTGTGCGCACCATATCCGTTTGGGCCAGAACCGAGGATATCGCTGCGGTGGTTAGCCCTCGCGCGTGTCCCCATACATGAATGACGGCGGCATCGTGTAGCACGACTGATGTCGTCGGCGACTGGCGCGTGTCCTGCGGGGCCGGCAGCGGCGGCGAACACCAGGCGGGCCAGGAAGTGTGATGGCCAGGGTGGAGCCGGCACGAGCGACAGTGGCTCGAGGGGTACCACAGCGAGTCGGGCCGGGTGCTGGGTGTCCGCGAAGGAGAGGCGGAGTGGAGGACGCGGTCGAGGATGTTGAGGCGGCGGCGAAGGTGTAGGCCAAACGGGTGTGGAAAGGCGGTTTGGAGAAGCTCAGCTGCATCGATCTCGTGCGCAGGGTGTACCATGAGCCGAGTTCAATACCGATAGATCAGATAAGCGTACCTTGGGACGTGCTTGTCGAAGGCCATCCCAGGTCTGGCCGGGGAACAGCCCATCCACGAGCTTTGTGACCTGCAGCGTTTCGGCCACTTGTCGTCTCATACCCTGGGGTCGTCCGCCCACACCCATGAGCACGCTGGCGCTGGCGCTCGCAACGCCGTCTTCGGAGTGTCGGACACTGGCTGTCAACGGCCCCGAGAACTCCAAAGTTGGGCGGACTGGTAGGACATGGATCACGGAGATCGGGGTGTGGAGGGACGGTGAAGTGGGACGGACTCACCGATGGTTGACAGATACAGCGTGTGGATCAGGACGGGTGTCGGGCAGGCTGACGAAGAGCGGCAGGGAGTTGATGTGAGGGACCTCCAACGCGTCCTCGTCAGCGTCCCAAACGACCAAGAAAATCAGGACTAAAACGCACCTTTCAACACGACGAGCGGGCCGCCGAACATGCTCTGACCCTTTGCATGGAGCGTGACCAAGGCAAGGGCGAGGCCAGGGTGGGAGTGGCGAACGAGTCGAGGCTGCGCTGGCAGAGTCCCGGTCCGGCTGAGCAGAGACTGAGATTCCCACGCCATGCGCTGCCAGCACACGTGTCGCTCCTCGTCCTCTCCCTCCACGGGAGGCTCCCGCACCTTCTATCCTTCATGCTGCCGCCTCTACTCTGTGATTACCGTGCCTTTATGCTGGTCTATTCCATACAGAGTCGCCCACCTTGCTCGGCCCGCCTTGCCACCTCACCCACGTCGCCTACTCTCACCCGGTGCGTCGCCACCTCGCTCACCTCGCAGGCGTCACCCTGAACAGATTGTCGCAATCCCCCCGCCCGCGGCCGCCGGTCCACATCCACGAGCTCGAGCAGGAGAAGGAGCCCCTCCCAGTGCGCTGCTGCGTGGAGGAGTACCGCCGTTGACTCGAGGTCAAGAACGACCCCCTCCGCAATGGTCCACCTCTGCCCAGGACGCGTTCGACCGCGACTCCTATGCCCCCGCACTCTCCGATGACCGCCACTTTGACGGTCGGAGTCAAGCGCTACCGCACTACGGACACAACATACGTGAGTGCAGTCGTTCTATCTCAATGTTTTTTCTTTCCTCCTCTTCCCGACCCTATACCACTCCCGCTTCTCCTTCACTGTTGTACCATCCAATTCCCCATCCTTCACATCCACAATGTTGGTTATCGCTGACCCCCGTGTCCTAGAACATCTATCTTCGCTGGCATGGATACCACCTTGGCAATTGCGCTCGCCCTGACACTCCAATAGCTCGGTGACTACGCTCAGGTGCAAGTCCGCCTCTGCGCCGCACGTCCCTCCCCACACACATCCCATTCTCCTCGATCTGGGTCCTCGATCTCGACGTCGAACACAGCCCCGTCCTCTTGCCACCCTCCTTCCTCACGCACACCCCCGCGCTGGCCACCCTCGTCTTCCTCTTCCGTGCGCACCACGGCATGGCCAAGATGGACGAGCTCGACGCGCTCACCCCTGCCCTTTTCGTCCCCGGCGGTGGCGGCAGCGGCGCCCTCCCGTGCCCGCGGCTCGCCACGCTCAGCTCCTGGATCTGGTTCCTGGGGCTCATCGTGCACTGGGGCCCGATGGGCGACAGGCGACGCACCCTTGTCGCCGCCACATTCGCGAAGCTCACCGCGCTCGCGACGGGGTGCGGGTGCCTCGGCCGGCCGCTGCGCACGATGCTTCTCGCGCCCACCACGCTCCCCACGCAACTCCGGCCGGAGGAACTGCAGGAGGCGGCGTGCGCGGACCGCGAGAACGAGGACGGGCAGAGAGGGGAGGCGCTCGTCGACGCCGCAGTCGACGCGGGGATCGAGACACTCTGGGGTGTTGTGGACGAGGTCGTGTGGGCGGCAGACGGGAGGGGCTCCCGCACTGTCTCATTGTCCAAAGCCACAATTTGTCGTATGTACTTGTGACAATGCAATACCGTTCAATAGAGATTTAGTGTGCACTCAAATATCGATCACTGCTGGATTCTCTGAGATACGTCTGAGATGTCTCCTCACCTCTCATCGATCTGAAATGTCTTGCGTGAGATGTGTCAGAGATCCGAGAGTTTGAGACATTTTGGAAATTACTGATGGGGTACGAGCGCTGGCGAGCTAGCGAGAGCGCAGGGCGAACGAGCTCAGTCTCGGGGGGAAAGAAGACTCATGATATTAAAGGTAAGTACCTAGCGAGAGCGCAGGGCGAACGAGCTAGGTAACGAGTAAGTGCGTAGTCCAGAATACAGAGTATACGGATGCGGGGCTCACCTCAGTCTCGGGGGAAAGAAGACTGAGGTGTACGTAACGTGCGAGAGCGTATATGTGACTCGGGCGAGTACGGAAAGGTAAGGTACAGGTACGAAGGACATTTCGAAATGATACGAAGAGGGGAAACACATGGTGCGCACCGGACGCAACTCGTCCGGGCCGGGACGTCTACCGCAATCGCGGCTTGCCGTCCAACAACGTCCGATACTGGTCTTACCTATTTTAGTTTAGTTGGTACTGTACAGTTCTTCGGCGCTCTCCGAGAGCCCCGGCATAGCGCTCGCTCGGCCGCTCGCTCATACCTCAGTCGTTACTGTCCCGACTGAGGTATGTTTCCATTCTATGTATCATTCTTCTATTCCTATACTTACATATATTGTACCTAGCTCGCACTCACTGTGCGTCGTTAGGTACAGCAATCTAGTCGTTACTGTCCCCGACTGAGCTCGCACTCACTGTGCGTCGTTACTTCCCGTCTCGCTGATCGGTTCAAGTCCACTTGAGGTTTTCCTGGTCCAGGAAGGTCGACGTGGAGTTGGGCGACGATTCGTGGGTCCCATTGTCTCGCATGTATTTGACCGGCACGGAGTGCATGGTGACAGTGGTGCTGACAATCAAGTGTAATAAGTGGCGATGATCATTTGAAGCAGCGAACTGAGGCGCGCATAAGCAACAACATGTCTTGTGATATTCGAGTTAGCAAGCCGCGGTCGTGGGTTACAGTCCGGTTCCGGTTCTGGTACACGGCATCGAGCTTTACATCGTCATCTTGGAAGTGTGGGACCTGGCTCTCGATTATGCGGTCTATCGAGGCAACCGTGAAGGTGGCAAGAAGCTCCCTTTAGTCTCTTTTCCATTCGCATACGCATGGTGACCAAATACAGCCTCCATCCAGCCTACCGCTCGTAGCGACACTTGTCCGAGTAAAATCCTACGAACAAGGCCAATCAGCGATCGCACAAACGAGTCCAGCACTAAAGAAATCACCATCGAGACCCTTCTTAGGATCGAAGTCTGCGCGTTTGATCAAGTCCAGCGCCCGCTCCCCGTCCTCCCGCCAAATCTCGACCGGCGTCCGCGCCGCCCCCTCACCCTCGATCCACCACCACCGCTTGTCGCGCGCGATCTCTGCCCGGAGTTCCCTTATTTTCCGCATCGGCGCGTTGAGAAACTCGCTGTCCGGTCCCCCCGCCGCCGGATCTCCTCCTCGCGCCCAATCTCTGCGGTCAGCTCTGGCCTACCCGGACCGCGGAGTAGCATGGTTCCGGGCTTGCACCACGAGAGTGCGAAGAGGCGGAGCGACGGGACGTCCTCGGAGAGCCGCACGGGCAGCTGTCGGAGCGTCTCGACACGGCGGATCTCCGCGGCACAG